TGGGTATGAACCCCCAAGGACAAACCAAGGGTCCTTCATGAGGAGCCTTACAATTTGGCAAAAAACTGCCAATTAAGGAAGTGTGGACAGTGTCCATCGATAGAATGCTGGCGACAGAATGTAGGATGGTTGACGGGGTGTCAGTTGCATACATATACCAAAATATAGAGGTTTGGTCAAGGGTCCATTTTTGAAGGTCTCAATCTCAAACGACGACTGCACAGGATGGCCATGAGTAGTTCCCGTCGTTTGACCTTTGGCCCGTTGTCGGGGGTTCGTAGGTCAAGGCCACTGTTTCACTGATAAGTTTAAGTTGGTAAAATTAATTATTTTGTTAGTTAAGGTTTAAATTATAGTTTAGGGGTTGGTTAATTAAGTTAGTTAAATGACTATATAAACTACCCTAAGCCTGAACCTCACTTATCTCTCATAATTGTCAAAACCCAATTGCTCTTCCTTCTCTCCACTTTATCTCTCCCAAATAAACTCCATAGAAGACAAAGGTTAAGAGGGTTATAGGGCTGCAAAGATCAAGTTTTCTCCATCAACCTTCATCAATTCTCAAGGTATGGGAACCTTTCACCATTGGGATTCCATTCCCCAAAGGGTTCTTCAAAAATTGATTTCAAAAAGTTGAGTTTCATGTAGGTTTCCTTCCAATACGAGATTTATCTTGTGAATTGCTTTATTTATGATTATTTTTGGTTATTATGAATATATTAAAGCTTAGTATTATTCAATTATACTACTTCTTGATGAATTGATATTGTTTCTGGAGGATGAACTTTTTCCCTTAACCCTAGGTTGTGATCTTGAATTGAATTATCTAGTATTGATACAATTAGCTTAGTTAATGTGTGAATCACTGTTCTATGTTGTTATTATACCAATTTATGAGTGAATCTGTATTGGTTGATGGTATGACCATGATGATAGCTTTGGAAGAGGAAGAGGTATGACTTTGTGATGTTCAAACCTTAACTCTATTGTGATGACTTTTACCTATTGAGGGTGATTCAATTGAAGTATGTGTGTTGTGAATGGATTTATTAGGATGGTATGATGTTGATACTGAAATGTATTTTCTTATGAATTGTGAGACCCTGTTAAGGTTGTAATGATATAAGGATGATGTTGACTCATTTGTGTGCATTACAATAATGTGGTATATGATGTTCATCTCACTATAAAGGATGTATTGAAAGTTTATTCTAATACAATTCCTAACGAGATAATTATGACGATATTCAAGGTGTAGTCTCCTACGACCTAAACTAACTTATTCTTATTAATAAAAGCCATTTTAAAAAGGGACACTAGCTTAACACCGAGTAAACAAGATGTGAGCAGTGACACCTTTCAAAACAGAGAAGGTAGGGTGCATCATTATACTCAAAGATATTGGAGACTTTACTGTGATGTACATAAATAGGGTCCCAACTACAGCTCGTAGTTCTTGAACTATGTTGCCCCAATAAGAATACTATCTAGTGGATCTACATAAATTCTAGTTCATGTTTTGGTACTATCTTCGATGGTACTCCGCCTTCTTTCGATGTAGGGTTCCATGACACCCGATTCCATATTAGGTCATGTGGTGTATGTTGGTTAAGGCAAGTGTTCCCGAAATTAAAATGAAGTAAGCACTAACTAGGGTGGCTAATGAGGTTTGACTTAGCCTAGGTAGGGGTATGTGCCTTGCACTAGTTTGCTTTGAGGACGTCCTTAGGAGGTTGTTCTTGTGTTCTTATAACATATATGTAATGTATATATCGACTATACATGTTATTGGCTCTATATGATGATTTCTTTATGAGCATGATGTTGGGTTATAATGCCAATGTATGATGATAATTACTCTTAATGTTATGTTATGTGAAGTTAAGCATTTCTTATGGTCCTTTGTTTTGGTTTACTTTATTAACTGAGGTTATAGGGATTCTCTTGATCATTGCACTTGTTTAATGAGGGGATATGGGTAAGGGATTTGTCTATGTTCAAATGTTATGAAGTTCTTATATATGTTTTATGTTTATACTATGATGTGGAGGTTGTTTGGCTATATCTATGTTGAATTGACTTTATATTATTGGTCTTGTTTTGGATATGTTATTGTATCAAGGATTATGTGGTTATTGGTTCATATGATTCCTAATTGTTTATAAAAGTTTAGATTTTAGAGTAAGTTTGCATATCTTTACAAATTGTCCCTTTCCAAGCATGGTTTCTATGTTGTGAGTGCATTGTTCCTATACTTAGCACTAGTGATGTGCTAACCCCATTTTCTCCCGTTGCCCCAATATTTTACGTTTCGATCGTTGACCAGGTTGAGACCATTTGAAGAATACTTGGATCCTCATTCTCCAAGATGGGTAGATCCTCACCACTTTGAGGTCAATGCCACTATCTAGCATTGGATGTTGATTAGTCTTAAAGACATTTGTTCATTTCCTTTCATATGAGTGCTAAGATTGTATAGCTTATATGCGACTTTTATTGTATTGATGTATAGTCTATGCCCAATTGTTATACTGTTGTTTAGATTGTTATGAGGTGAGACATACGTTTTAAGACTATCTTGTATCTTATATATATGTTTGTCATAAAAGTAGAAGACTATGTAATCTTCTAATACAAAGGGTCTAATTATACTCGATATAAATATATTATGCGTATGTGAGAGGTAATTGTAAACCTCATGATACTTATAGAAGAAAAGTTTTAAATTTTCCGCATTTAGCCTATGAATTTAATGATGTATGCTAATAGGATAGTCCTAGTCCTTAATGAGGACGACGATGCTGGTTACGTATAGGGGGTGTTCCCCAAATGTGTCAGGGCCGATAGAAACTCCCACCCGAGCAAGGTTCGTGATTAAAACTGATTCTGCTCTAGGTACGCACAGGTCTTATAGATGTTATATGCTGGAAGAGTTGGCTCATGGGGGGCAGAATAAGACCAAGCAAAGAGGCCAACAAGTTAGGCCGAAGCTGAAGATTTTTAGAGGAAAATGCAGCCAAAGGACTATTCGATTGTGAATCATCTAGAGAAGACTATGATTTACATTTTTGTGTGGGACTTGTTAACGAGTTCACTACTACATAGAAAGACCTGATGAAGTCTTAGGATGACATGTACGTGTATGTGGGCACCGACAACAACAATGGAACAATTATGATCAACCAGGTCATCTTAGGCAAAGAATTAGGTTTTACTGGCAAAGCGTTACCGTTCGTCGATAGGATACACAACAATGCTTTTTATGTCACCATTGCATGTCAAGAAAGGATTATAAAGCGGGTCTTGGTTGATGACAAATCCGGTCTCAATATTTGTACATCTATGTTTGTTGTAGAAAATTTCAACGATGAAATTACACGTCAACAATATATAATATTGTAAGAAATTCAGGAATTGGTGACAAAAAAAGTTGGGTTGTATGTTGGAAGAATTTTTTTGTCATATGACAAAAAGAAGATTATCACGGATGTCTTTGTTGATTGGATGATGGAATTTTCAATATTTTGCGGTTATGCAGACATGATTAAACATACTAATCCTGGTGCTTCCTATTAGGTGAGGACATATAGAGAGTCTCAGGCTGGAAAAACTTTGTTTGTTTACTTCTATGTTTAATTTGATGCATTTGAAGAAGGGCTGGTTCGAAGTATGAAGAAAAATTATTGGTTTTGATGGATACTTTCTAAAGTTTTTTGCAAGGGTTAATTGTTGGTTGTTAAGTAGAAATGGAAATTAACATATGTTTCTAATTGCATGGGTTGTTGTTGACATAGAGACAAAAAACAGTTGGAGTTTTTTATGCAACTATCTGATAGAAGATCTGAACTTAGGCACAAAACATGAACTGACTGCTATGTCACATATGTAGAAGGTTAGTTGTTCTTTGTATTGTAGCTTGATTTTTTTTTAATTTCATGTGTTCCCAATACTTTTTAATGTTTGCCCTGCAACTGTTTACATAGGGGACTTGTACCAGCTTTATGTGAGTTGCTACCAGATAGTGCGCAGAGAAGGTGTGCTAGACATATCTCGTCCAACTGGCATCAAATATGGAGTGTTGATGAAAGAATGAACCAGTTCTGCTGATGTGCTAAGTCATGTTTTGAAGTGAAAATTGAAGATGAGATGGATAAACTTCAACAAATTATGTAGTAAAATGTGTGAAGACTTGATGTATTATGAAAAACTACTTGGTGCAAAGAGTATTTTAAAGACCATTCTAAGTGTGACATTGTTTAAAAAAATATGTGCGAAACATTTAATTCTTGGATATTAGCTTCAAGACATAAGGCTATCATAACTATATTAGAGGACATTTAGCACAAGATAATGGACAGAAATATTGGAATAAGGTAATTTTCTAAAACTTGGATCTCAAATATCTTTCCTATGGGTCGATTAGTACTTGAAGAGAACAAAGATCTTGCTAGATTTTGTGAAGTTAAATTCAATGGTTATATTGGGCATGAAATCTTAGATGGTCATTTCGGCATATTGTTAATATAATGAATAAGAAATGTACATGTAAAAAATGGAAATTGAGGAGAATACAATGTCATGATGTTGTTGCATATCATCACAAAGGCATAGAACCTGAATATTAATTGCTACATTTGTATAGGAAAGAGACTTTCTTGAAGGCTTATAACAAGTTTCAATAGCCAATACCAAGCATGAAAATGTGGCCTCTAGTGGTATAGTGATTGAACCTCCTGAACGAAAAGTCATTCCTGGTCAGCCACCAAAGTGCAGAAGAAAGGCAAAGAATGAGTTTAGGAAAAATTAAGGAAAGTTGTTCAAAAGACGAGTAAAAATGACTTGCTCCTTAACTCATCTAGTAGGCCACAACAAAAAATCTTGTCCAACCATGGTGGGTTATTATTCTCTTCTAATACATCTAAAATAAGCTTCAATTATTTAAAATAATCAATTATTATTATTATTGTATTAATAGGCTGGGATGGTACAACCTGGAGGTAACCAAGATAAAGCCACCCACCAATGTTTAGCTAAGTATCAAGCTCACGCCAGCCACCATTGTTTAGACAAACATCAAGCTCAAGCCAGCCACCACTTTTTAGTAGACCATCAAGATCAAGTCAACCACCTGTATTTCATTATCAAGAAAATTCTATGTGTTATAATTTTTCATCTCTTAGAAGAGAGCAACGACCTGCTAAAAGCAGAGGTACAAGGAGAGGCAATGGAAGAGGCACTGACAGAGGAAGTGGAAGAGCCACTGGTAGAGGCATTGGAGGTGTATCAAGTCAGCAACCAGATCAACCAAGGGTTGTAGAAGATCCGATATCAGCAGTTCGTTAAAAGAGGACCAAGACTGTAGGATTTGACATCTATACAAACGCAAGTTATTGTCAAATTTTTAATAAAAAGGTATAGATAATTTTGTTCATTTATTGCTCTACTATACAAAGTCTCATTTTAATACATTTCTATGCAGCCTGGTACTTCAGGATAAATAGTTATTACTCGGGGAGTTTATAAGGATGCAACTCCAACAAATATTGATATTTTTTATAAGCCACGAGAACTCAATTTTAATACTGGAGATGGTGTCATAAGTTCACAGTTGTTACAAATAAGTCGACCAAGGAAAAATAAACGTGGAACATCTAGTGCACCAAGGAATGCCTAATTTCTCTGGAAAAGTCACTTTTTGATTCTTTAATTAGCAGCAAAAACTTGTATTGAGTGCTTTGAAATGTCTTTTTGTGTCTTTTAAGTACATTAACTTATTTATGGTACTACTTTTAATAAGTTGTCATGGATTGGTATGTTTGGTTTGAGCTCACTAGAGCAAATTAATGGGATGAATTATCAACTTTTACTGCTTTTAACACACAGATTGTATTCATTCCATAAATAAAATCATTACAATCAATACACAAGGCATTTACAACAGAAAATCCGATAAAAATTTCCTTCATAAAGAATAGTAAAATCTACCATATATACTTTTATGATAGAATCTTGTAGAAGACAAATGAACTTACTAAGATCATTTTGTTGCACAAATCCAAGTAGTCAATATCATCCCTACGACAATGCATATCATCCATACTTTTATTGATCGATAGCTATCAAATTCATATGTTTTGACTCTTTTCAATAAGCCCCATATCACCCTCCTAGTTTGAGCTAGCATTTCATCATCATACCATCGAAAATATCTAGATCCACATCGTGCCTACAAAGTTAAAGAAAATATTGAATTATATATAAGGTGATTCTTTATTGAATTGGACAATACAAATGAATTTGAATAACCTACGAAGTTTTGCAACAAAGGGACCTATGTCCAAGGTTTGATTGCGTCCATGAGTTCTTAATTTCCACAACGTCCCCACATTGACATATCACATTTGAGTTGAAGAAGAAATAGCGATGAAGACGATAACTTCGACATTGAAACTTGATGATTAAGAAGAAATCAATGAAAAAAAATATAATAAAGAGGAGATATAAATATGAAGAGAAACAACAAAGGAGAAATAAGAGAAGAATGAGAGAAATTTGGGTTAAAAAGGGGAAGAAGACCGTTGGTGGGTAGTTAGAGATCCACATCAGCGCCTTTAAAGCGTATGAGCACACTCACGGGACATGCGATCATGTTTCGCTCCACATAAGTCAAGAATATTTAAAAGGAATAAATTATTGATGTTTCAAATATTCAATATGAAAATGGCTTAGTTGAGGTACTTGAGAAAAAACTCATGAAGTTTAGCAATCTGCTTAAGTATTTGGAACATTTAAATACATAAATAAATACATATATATATACGGCCAAACCCATCGGTAAACACCTAAAGTTGGTACCATGTTTTAGATAGACACCTCAACTGGACGATGTTTATTTTAGATACTTTAAGTAGGGTCCTATTATGTATTCTTACAATTTTTGCTTAGTTGAAATACTATGTGTGCTACACTTACTTTGATTGTGTGAATGGCATAATTTTTATGATTTTTTGAATTTTTTGAATTTCTTCTTCTTCTTCTTCTTCTTCATTCTCTCTCCATCCCACGCTTTCTCCACCATATACAACCACCTTGACACCATTTTTATTCCACTTTCTCCTCTCTTTGTCATTTCTTGATATGAAGAATTAAATTAATAATATAATTAAAGAAAAATAATTTATGATAGGACCAAATTATGCCTACAGCATACATCTTCTTCATGATATCAAATTTCTCCATCTAATTTTTTTCCATAGTTCCCTTGTCAGAAGTTAGCCTAATCCTTCAAAGGTTCATTGGTTTATTTTCACCTCTCTATTTAAGGTTTTTTTTGCATATTCAATTTTTGAAATACTTATTTTCTACTTCTCAAAGCTTTTAACTTTTTCTATTTTCATGATCCCATTTCAAGTTATAACATAGATAGATTTGATCTAAATCATATAATACCATGTAGGAGGTATAATTGATCTAAGATCATTATACATATACAAATTTCGGACCAACATAGTACTAAATAATAGCATATATAATATATGCACAATTTGTTTCAATGCGGCCTACCAAATGACCCCTAAAGGCAGACATAATGGTTTAAACACAAATTTAGAAAAATACAAAATTTAAAAAGAAATTATAAATATAAAATAAACTAATAGGAAATTGTTCTTAACCTTGGTTTTCATCATACTTTTCGAAATCTTCTACACCCAATTTTTTAATTATTTATTGATAGTGTTTTTGCATGACATTGCTGTCCTGAACATATATGTGGATAGAATCATCAAGAAAGTTAGATCTCCTCTTTTGAGCCATTTTAACCGCAGAGCCTACATTTTTGGAATAAAAATGTACAAAAAAGTTGCTTTGAAATGTATTCAAACTTAAATAAAAATTGAGAATAATGACGGAACATCTGTAATATGAATAATGAGAAATATAAAAAGCAACACTGAAAACAAATCACAAGAAATATAAAATATAACCGAAATTACCTTAATCGAATTCAGAATTTGATGAAATAATGTATACCTCATAGCTAATCGACCAACAAAATTCTGGACATAATGCATAAATTTTTTTGAAGAATCAAATTTTGAACAACTTTTATTTGAAGAATGAAGAAAATATGGGAACTTGAAAGGTGGGATTTTTTTAGAGAATAATGTGTAAAGGGCAGAAACGTGCAAGATGTAGGGAGGATAGTGTATTTGTTTTTTATTTTAACTTTGTTATTCGTTAGAGTTTTGTCGAATTATGGACTCTTTTATAAAAGGAAATCTCAAAAATTATAAAATGTGAATACGAATTATTTTCGAAAATATTGTCATGATGTTTTAAACAAATAGCTTAAAGTGTTGTTATTTTGACTAAATATCTTATATATTATAACTATATACCTAACAAAAAGTGTATCATCCCGTGACATAAAAAATTATTTAAAACCGCTCTTTGGCCAAGAAATACAATGCAATATGTTTTTTAGACTTCTTCTATTTTTTAGTTAATATGATATATTAAAAAATACTAATAATATCACTCAATTTACACATTTAACTGTACTAAATATGCAATATAAGAAGTAAGAGAATCCTTTTAAATTCTCTAATATAAAAATCAGTGCTCTTTATTTTTATTATTCCCACAATGTTGTATTATCATAATGCAACATCTCGTAACTCGAATAGCTAAGAATATGCTAAATAACTAAAAATAATCACTAAAGTGAGTTTTGGAAGTTTTCTAACCACCATAACTTCTAGCTCATGATGAGTTAGATGGAGTTCTTTTTATGGTTGGAAAGCCCTTGGAGAGATCTTTTAAACTCCGCCAAGTTTGAAAAGGAGATATGCCTATCATAATTTGGGTTGTTGGAATGAAAAAAATATCTCAACTCCAATTTAAGAAAGAACATACTAGTCTTTTCACCAATTAATTTCCAATTTACTTTTAGGGATTTATTTGGGGTAAAAACAAGTTCTAGTTCAAATTATAAAACTAACTTTGCATTTATGTCTTGGAGAAGATAAAAGAGAAGAAGAAAAAGAGAGAACGACCAAGGTTTCACCGAGAATGCCAACAAATTTCGAGTGCAATTCGTCAGGGTGATCGATATAAAGGTATGTGATATCTTTCTTATTGTGTTAATTCTAATGAACACCAATTTTGTTTCAATTTAGTGGTTTTAGAACTATTTAGATGATTAAAAGTGAATTCTTAATGAATCTTGTCCAATCTCTATTTGACTGAGTTCTTTAAATGCCCATTGATGTTGGTTTGTAGTTTCCAATGTTATTTTTGATTTTGATCTGTTGGGTGTTAATGGTATTGATGATCCAAAGAGTTTGGGAAACGAATTAGGGAGGTTTAAGGGATTTAGCGATGAAAGACGAAGAGAGAAGTTTGTCAGCCACACCTAAGGAGCATTGCGCTCTGTCACATCCAGAGAGCACACCCTAGAAGTTAGGGCTATGTTTGAGTGCAACCGGCGTACTCGACCTCTCAAAGGTCTTATGCGATCCCGTTCATATCATTCATCACATATATATAGTGAAAAGTAGCGTGGAATTAAAACTTTTCACAAAATATTTCATAGTCTTTAAGAACTCTTTCATATAAAACTCCTAGAAAATACTAAGTCTCAATCTCATCAAACTTATACACAAGAATACTTGGGACATGGCCCATAAAATACGAATATAGAAATACTTAAGTCTATTACAATACCTCAATTAGATAAGTAAAAGACATCTATGCCCTCGATGGAAATTAGGACATACTTTAACTTCACATGAATGATGCTAAGATCCAAGTCTTACTTCCCAAATGTGCCTCACCTACCAACCACTATAGAGATAGACATAAACATGGAATTTGTACAGCAACATGTACTATGTAGACATAATGCATAAACATAATGAAAACAGACATTTATTGGAAATATGCATGTTTTCATTTAAATATAATAATATAATCATAAGAACAAAATTTAAAAACATAGAAACACATAAGAAATCACTTTGAACAATTATCACATTTTTAAGAGACATATTAAAGTAACCTCAACTCGCTGTAGAGTGAATTCCTTCCCTGTTACAGTAAAGTTGCCTACTTCTTCCTTAGGCACTTTATAGCATGTAATCATCCCACTAAAAGCTATCCTAAGACTCACTTAAGTCATACAAAGAGAGACCACACATACACCCTCTCTAAGCATGCATAAACGATCCTTAAGCCTACTTATAATGAGACACATACACACTTAAAATACACAAAACACATAACATGCATTAGATGACATTCTCTTTAACAAGGCTATATAAAGACATACTAAAGTACTCCTAGAAGAGAACACCCATACCCTCTTTTTAAGGTTACCTAAATAATCCTTGTGACTACCAATGATTAGATCATGCCTAAAGAATCAACCAACTTCCCTAACTAGAGTCATTCTCAAGACATCCCTTGATAAAAAATGAAGATATAATCCCTTATGCCCTCTTCACACTTTAACTAAGAAATCCTTCAGTCTCCCTAGATTAGGTATTCATTCATTTACATGCTTTCTAACATAAGTAGTTAATTTATTGGTTCTTTAAGAGACATCAACCACATATAGGACATTTAAGTAATGGTCTTGGAAAAGACCTAGGGATTCTCAGTAACATCTTCAAATCCAGTTATGCGATGTCAAAATAACATCCTATACCACCACCTTATTTTCATTGAACTTATCAAATGCTAATAGGTATCCACATGATTGAATAGGCAATAACCGACATAGACCATGGTAGGAAAATATTGAATCCCGAGTTCTAACCTACTCCAATGAGAGTGTTCTTCTTGCCAATGGTAGAACTTGGACACATCTCATGTAGTCCCATGGTTAAGGAATATGAAGGAATGCCTTTGTATTCTAGCCTTACCCTTAACTAGAACTACTTTCGTTGCCACACTCACTCGGTGCTAACCTTTGTTTTCAGAGAGTAATTTACATTAAGGTTCATACAAAGGGCTCCATATAAAGTTCATAACCTAATTACATTTACCCTACCAAACAGGTCCCCTAGGGCTTCCTTACAACGGCGACAAGAAACTCATCATGACTTTCCTAAGGATTCATATGATCCCATTCCAGCCAATCAACCTTAGGTGTATCATTCATTATAAGAAGAATACCATTACGTCTTTCTACTTGAATATTCATAACCTTATCACTAGGTTCACGGTTTCAGATAAAGGACCCCCTTTTAATCATTCAATAAGGTCTCATATATCATTTATACTTTCAAGAATAAGAGCTGTAGCATCCTATTTCAGGACATCACATATTTACTTTAATACATGCATCAAGTAAGGGACACAAGTCTATCAAACCAAGACACAACATACTTTTCTTTATCACATATAGCATATCATTCTTGTAATACATAGGAAAAAAACATTATCATCTCTAAGTCATCCTATCACTACTATATCATTTTTAATATAACCATCATAGACTCATATAGCCAAGTAAGAACAATCACGCATCAACTCTAACACATAGTCATATTCTAACATGATTACCTAAATATCATCAATAGAAGAAACCACATACTTTCACATTACTTCACATATAGGTAAATATGATCATACTTCACATAATCAACTACACAAATCATCATATAACTTCAAGTAGTTATCGAAAAGGACATAATGATCATATTACATAAAGTAACGCCGACAAGGCCACATCTATTAACAGCGCCACCATAAGTGGACCGTAACAATCAAAATATAATTGAAATCTAATTAAAATAAAATAAATGTCAATAGGGAAGCGTACCACCACTCCATCCTCAACACTTCAATCCAACGCTGAATCATCCAATTCAATATCAGAAGGCCCTTACCCATGGCCATGAACATCAATTCAATGCAAAAATCATATTACTCAATAAATTTAAGTCAATTCAATATATATTTATTAATATAAGAACCAATAAGACATCAATTGAAGACAATTCTTATATCATCAGATAGCCATAGAAAACTACAGCACAATTCATAAAAATTAAGTCAATATGATGTAACCCATAAAGTAGTAAAAAACTAGGGTTAATCAATTACATGGGTGCATAGGTTATTTCATTTAAAATCATATAATTAACAAAAGTTCAATAACTATTAAATTATTAAAATTCTTTAATGCAAGAATCCATAGATAGATCATGAAGTTGGACAATTCGTCTATGAAAAATTTAGAAAAATTCATTGAATTTTTGCTCCTTGATGAATAGAGTTTCAAGGATCAAAACCCATACCTCAATTATGTTAATCCTACAATTTGATAAATAATCACCACTCTAATCTCCAATCCAAGCTCTTTCTTGAGTTTTATCTTTAATTGAGTCTGAAGGAATCTCTAAGGGATTTTAGGATTTTGATTTGGAAGAATGAATTCTTTTAAGTGTTAAAGAATTATATACATGTCTAAAATACCCAATAAACCCTTAAGTAACCTCCAAACTTTCAATTTGGATGTGGGGTGATTTTACACTTTCACCCCTCACTTAACAGTGAACCTGCGCAGGGACACATGCTCACAGAGGGTTGGTAAATGACGGCCCGTCCTTTGACCAATGGACAGTGTAGTCCATGGTATGGGACTGAGGCTGGTTGTTTGCCTCTCCTTATCCATGATTATGTCCAAAACGTCGATACACCACCAAAGGGGCATCGAGTGGCCCGCTAGGCGTCGATTGTCAACCATTGGTTGGGCTATCTTGGACAGTTTTGGCCACCACGAAGGGTCAAAGACCCTTGGATGGTCCTTGGTTATATTTTCCTGGACATTTCCAACCAAAACATGCTCGTATATGAGTTTAGGACCTCTCACATGATTTTCACCTAAAACACGAAGAAACATGCTTATATAGACAAGGTCATTTCAAGACACATCTTTCAAAGATTATGACGTTCTTGGACGTTTGACCTCCAAACTTTATGAAAGTTGACACACTACCTAAATACATCATAATAACTCATTTAAGGACCATATAACCTCATTAATCATACATAAAAACATAGATGAGTCACATAGGTTACTTAGTCATCGAAAGTCTTAATCCTCCCTTGACGTTTGAGTTCCAATGCACCTAAAATCTTAGACAATGCCTCAATACAACATTATAGACCAATTTTGGACATTAGACCACCATGAAAACCATGTTAGGCTCTAGATCACCGAAGTC